GTTACCGGTGTGGGTGAATTTTATATGGTGTTGTGCTCCTGTTAATACTAGCATCCTTGCTGGTCCATGCTGGGTGCTGCGAATCTGGTACGCTTCTCCGCCGTATGCAGAACATTTATTGTTAATATTGGCATTCATATTTATTGATTTATAAAATATTTTACCAGGAAAGATACATTGAGATTTCTCTCGTTTTCAAATATGTCCTGGGTCCACAAAATATTGCATTAGCGCCAACTTATTCCACAGCGCTTTACAATATTTTTATAAAGAGGAAAATTTAAAGGGACACTGTAGCCACCAAAACAACTTCAGCTTTGTGACGGACCACCGTCACTGAGAACCATACCCGCTGCTTATTCGTGTGTTTTCCCCTTGTATCGTGTATTGTGCCTGTATATGCAGCTGTGGGTCAACAAAGGGGGGTGGGGGGCAGGAGCTCTGTAAAGCAGAGTTAAGTGCTCTGTGCCTTACCCCTCCCCCTTTCTTTTGTGAATGTAGTGTTTGACTGTACCTCTCCCCCTTTCCCCCTCCCTCTTCCTGTCACAGCAGGACATGGTCACAGGGACACTATCAGCTCAGGTTGCAGGGGCTGATTTGTCCCTCTTCCATGCCCCTCCCCCTTCAGCTTCTTGGGATTGAAACCCCTGTTGTATAGTGTGGCGGAGAGCTAGTATTCCACAAGTTATCTCCGCTCAGGATCCCAGTGAGGCTCAGGAACAAGTAATTATAAATCCATAAAGCAAAGATTCCAGCAGGTAAAACAATACAGCAATATCCCAACAGCACTCCCAATAACTGGACGACACACAGTATCAGGAGCAGAACTAAACCTTTATTCCAGCAGTGGCCTTTTAAAGCATGCTCCCATGCAAGGGAGAGATTTTCAATAACCTCTGTCATCGTTTTGGAGATTATTTCCATAAAATGACAGTCTAAATTGGAGCTGTCTTTGGAACTCTTCCTGCTCTGTTCCCTCTCTTGCCTCTCTCTGTTCGGTGACCGAATCCTCCTCTGTTCGATACTCTGCCATTATTTCTGAAATAAGCGTTGCTTTTGTCTTGTTGCTGGCTGGAATACCTCTTGCTTCCAGAAGGTCTTTCAGTGTGGATCTCTTTAGTGTGGAGCAGGGCCGGATTAACATAGGGGCTGATGGAGCTGCAGCTCCAGGCCCAGGCCCATGGAATAGGCCCATTTAAAAAAAAAAAATAATAATTTTTTTTTTTTTTTTTTTTACACACTACTCTTAGGTTTGCCACCTGACTGGTATTTTAATGGCACAGATGGTATTTGAGGATGCCTGGCTGTGCCAGTATTGCAGTAATACCGGCAGAACAAATGCAGGTAATTTTCTCAGAACAAATGGAAATTACTCTGCAATACCAGCACTGGCCAGTAGGGGTGTGGAGAGAGGCAGGGATAGGAAGTTACAGAATATCCCTGCCTCTTTCTACTACTCACTGACCCATGGGGGATCAGCAACACAGCACAGAGAGTCCAGACAGCAGCTGTACAGCTCAGGTAAGTGAGGGATGGGGGGAAAGGCAGCAGGGACACATGGGGACACTGAGACACTAGGGGACACAGACACTAGGGGACACATGATGACACATACACAAGGGGACACTGAGACACTAGGACACAGACACTGGGAGACCTGGGAACACTGAGACACTTGGGGACACTGGAAAACATAGGGACACTGAGACACTAAGGGACACTGAGACACTTGGGGACATGGGGACACAGACACTAGGGGATACAGACACTAGGGGACACATGGGAACACAGACACTAGGGGACACGGAGACACTAGGACACATGGGGACACAGACACTGTGAGACCTGGGGACACAGACACTTGGGGACACTGAGACACTAGGGGATACATGGGGATGCTGAGACACATGGGGACTCTGTGAGACATAGGGACATTGGGAGACATTGGGACACGGAGACACTATGTCCCCCAGCCAGTGTCCCTAGTGTCTCAGTGTCCCTGGGTGACTTGCGAGACTCTCAGTGTGACTAGTGTCCCCATGTGTCCCAATGTCCCCATGTCTATGTCCACAACTGTCCCCATGTCTCCCCAAGTATCTGTCTCCCAGCCAGTGTCCCCTAGTCTCCCAGTATCCCCTAGTCTCCCAGTGTCCCCTAGTCTCCCAGTGTCTGTGTCCCTAGTGTCTTAGTGTTCCCAAATGTTTCAGTGTCTCCATGTCTCCCAGTGTCTGTGTTCTTAGTGTCTCAGTGTGTCTGGTGTCCCCATGTCTCCCAGTGTCCCTATATGTCCCAGTGTCCACATGTCTATGTCCACAACTGTCCCCATGTCTCCCAGTGTCCCCAAGTGTCTGTCTCCCAGCCAGTGTCCCCTAGTCTCCCAGTGTCCCCTAGTCTCCCAGTGTCCCCTAGTCTCCCAGTGTCTGTGTTCCCATGTCTGTGTCCCTAGTGTCTTAGAGTCCCCAAATGTTTCAGTGTCCCCATGTCTCCCAGTGTCTGTGTCCCTAGTGTCTCAGTGTCCCCATTTCTCCCAGTTTCCCTAAATGTCTCAGTGTCCCCATGTCTCCCAGTGTCCCCATGTCTCTCAGTGTCCCCAGTATCCTAGTGACATTGGGACACTGGGAGAAATGGGGACACAGACACTGGGTGACATGGGGACACTGACACTGTGATACATAGGGACACTGAGACACTGGGTGACTTGCGAGACTGAGACACTGGGAGACAGGGAGACACTGGGAGCAATCCATCTATACAGCAGAATCAAACTGTGAGTAGTTTGTTGGTGATTTTACAGAATTTTCTCTGATGTCACTCCTTGTGATTTACACGCATAACTAATTAATTATACAAATGATTAAGGCTGGTATTTTTTTCCAAGAAAGGTGGCAACTTTAACTACTCTTCACATACTCTTGCCTAAAGGAGCACTATAGTGTCAGGAGCACAATCATGTATTTCTTACCCTATTATGTTAAAACCACCACCCTGGCCCCTTCGTCCCTCCCTAAATATAGTAAAATATTACTTGTATTCAATTCTGCAGCTGCTGGCTCAGAAGTGGTGGTCTGAGCAAATTACAATACTTCCCCATAGGATTGGCTGAGACTGTCAACTAGGCAGATCAGGGGCAGAGCCAGCACAAGTCCAACATAGCCCTGGCCAATCAGCATCTCCTCATAAAGATAAATTGGATCACTGCCTCTCTATGAGGAAAGTTTAGTGTCTGCATGCAGAGGGTGGAGACACTAAATGGCAGTGCTGCACACTAGGCAGTACTGCCCCAGGAAGCACCTCTAGCAGCCATCTAAGGAGCGGCCCGTGGAGTTATTTTCTCTGAAAATACAGTGTTTACTGCAAAAAGCCTGAATGGAATGATTCTACTTACCAGAACAAATACAATAAGCTGTAGTTGTTCTGGTGACTATAGTGTCCCGTTAAGTTGGAAGCTTAAGAGGGATGTATGGGAACAAAACTTGTGTGCACTGGCTGACATTAAAGTTATTTTAGGTAATGCAGACATTGGTCTCTCTAACACTGTGGCATGTCCCCTTTCTTCTACACTCACTACAGACACCTTTTCTCTGTCTCAGACTATACCAGGAACTTCTGCCTGCTAGTAAGACGGTAAGGAGACAAGTGGACCAGCCAGTGCTAGGGGACAGTCCTTAGAAAGAATGGAGTAAGCGCATCATTAGACGCATTTATGTCAAGCTTAAGGTGCTGCCTGCATAATATGCCCTTAGTTGGACAGCCTGAAGAATTGGCAGGCAGCCTGACATGCATTCATGCCAGGCTGACCTTCCAATTCTTTGGACAAACATGCCCCCTTTTTGGGCATGTTCACCCCTTTTGGCAGGTCTTGTCACGTGATTCGCGCCAGTGGCACACCCTTTTACCCCGCCCATTGACTTCCTGCTTCACTGGACACTGCTGTTAGGGGTTATGGATTTACTTGAAAGATGAAAGCATAAATTAGAGATAAATTAGCATAGAGTATGTGTTTTCTTATAGCTGCATCCTATGAGTTTACCTCCAGCACCATCTCCATCAGATACATGGCGCTTGGGAGGTATGATTGTTTTAGTGTTTTTGGTCGATAAGATTCCTTAATTAGGCCCATCATAATTGTCAGCACCAGGCCCACTGTGCTCTTAATCCGGCCCTGGTGTGGAGTAATCAATCTCCATTAACCTTGTTCCTTTGTGAGTCTGGATCCCGGCGCTGCCAACCAATGTAGCGGAGATCTAGTATTCCACAAGATATCTCCGCTCAGGATCCCAGTGAGGCTCAGGAACAAGTAGTTATAAATCCATAAAACAGAGTTTCCAGCAGGTAAAACAATACAGCAGTATCCCAACAGCACTCCCAATAACTGGACGACACACAGTATCAGGAGCAGAACTAAACCTTTATTCCAGCAGTGGCCTTTTAAAGCATGCTCCCAATAATCAATACAGTAGCCAATCAGGGTCCGGTAACCTCCCACACATCTCCTCCCCTCAATATGACTCATAATCCCCTTATACAGTACATCAATTCCCCACGTTCCTGGATGTACCCCTAAACCTAGGGGTACCACTTTAAATGTTACATTCCCTGGTAGCCCCGATCTGGGTGAGCAACATATCCAAAAATCACCCAGATAGGACCAGGGGTTCGGGAATTTTGTGGAAGTGAAGAAAAAACCGACCGCGCTGGAGAGAATAGCCGTATCTGGTTCCAGGCGATGGGGCCCTGTGGTCGGTCACTGTACAAGGGAATAAAAGACACAAAATCTGCAAGTTATAGAGATCAGGGAGGGTTCGCTTGAATCCCCTCGTTCGGTTGTTTCTTTCTACTGAACGAGGGCCAATTCGGTGGTTTAGAAGCGAACGTACCGTGCGTATGGAGGTCTCAGCGGTGTTAGCCTAGCCGAGTGTCCGATTTGAGTTCCAGACACTCGACGGCAAAACACCGCTGTTCGGGAGTTTAAAATGGCCGCCGCCACGTGTTCGTTTCCCGAATGGCGGCCACCCCGAGAACAAAGACCTTCTGCACAGCTTGCCAATTACCCGTTCACAACATTGTTGCAACTGGTAATTGGAGGCACACTTCACACTGGGGAGGTCTGGTTGTTCGGTAATTTCATACTCATACTTGCTAAAATGATTCTACCGAACAATCAGACGAATACAGCCTATTTTACACATACATTATTGCAATTCAAACGAATACACCAAAACACATGAAATTTTCTAGGACAGCCCAGGGTCCTCCGCTACATATAGTGTTGGAGACCCCATGTAGGGGTCTGTGTCTGTTAAACCATGTGTAACCAAATAAACGCAGTCATGCCTGTTCCTCCAGAGCTGTATGTTGTGTCCAGTTATTGGGGGGGAAATGGATGCCTACTTGTTGTAAGGATTCCTGAACGGCTGAAGGAAGGGAATTAGCAGAGGTAACAGGACAGGTTACCCTAGGTCCGCTACAAGCTTCATGCCATCTCACTGCACAATTCTCTGCCATTTAGGAGTTAAATCAATTTGTTTATGCAGCCATACGTACACCTCCCTGCATGTGACTTACACAGCCTTCCTAAATGCTGTTCTTCTTTCTCGTCTTGACTACTGCAATCCCTTTCTCAGTGGTCTTAAGTGTTCCCAGATTGCACCACTGTAATCTATTATGAACGTGGCGGTGACGATAATTTTCCTGTCCACCCACACCTCCCCCTCTCTCAGTCCCTACATTGGCTTCCAATTAGATATGGGGCTCAATTTAAGATTCTGGTGCTTGCTTACAAGTCCCTACGTAATGCTGCTCCAACCTACCTATCCTCCCAAATACACAAGTACGACCCATCTAGAAACCCTGCGCTCTCCCCAAGACCTATGTCTATCCTCTGTCCGTACTCCCACATCTGATGCTCACCTACAAGATGTCAGGTTCTTACCTGATGGGGAGTCCGGCTCGCAGAGTTATACGCTCACCCTTGCAAAGTAGACACAGACCAGGGTGAACAGGTAAGACGCCACCTGATCTGTGAGTCTGTGCACGGGGGCTTTCCAGGAATAGTGCTCCAAGAAGCAGTACAGCAGGGATTAGCAGAAGCGTAGTCAAGGAAAGCCAAAGTCAGGGGAAGCCAGAGATCAGAGTAGTCCAGGAAAGCCAAGGTCAGAAGCCGGAATCAGACAGGAAATACTGGAATGCAGATATGGCAAGACAGGAACCAAACAAGGGAACCAGAGTCAATGAACTGACACTGCCCTCAGGGAGAGGCAGTGTCTTATACTTGGCTAACTGGTGATCAGCCACAGGTGTGCTGAGATCGTTGGAGCAGCCACAGAATAACGTCCAGCCCCCAGTGCTGGGTACAAGGCAAGATAGACTTCTGGCTATCTCTTGCGCTGATATGGTGGCTCAGAGGCAAAACAGCAGCCCCAGGACTGCAAAGTACCCTGGTTCAAGTCCGTCACCGGGCACTTCTGGGGCGACCTCGTCTGGCCGTCGGGATGTCGCGGTGAGAACCGTGACACAAGACTTCTCCAGGGCTGCACCTTTTCTGTGGCACTCCCTTCCCTTAGACTTTCACCCAGTCTCCACTTCAAAAAAATCTTTGAAAACACACTTCTTCAGCATGTATGTACGTAGTGGGGAATCGCGATGCAGCATAATACATAAACCAACTCAATTCATCCCCTTTCCCAAATAAGGACAGACAACGTAGTATGGATGAAACAGGCCACATCATTTATTATACCATATGACAAAATACTGTATGACACATCCATAATTTATTTAATAATTTCTCTTCTTTTCTGTAACCAAAACGTTAAACATAAATAACCATAACTTAACATATATATGCATATAACATAGTGTCATACAGTAAACCCAACCATCCTTGCAAATAAACTGACGATTCGCCTATGTACCACTTCCTCTCACCTTCCCCCTTGTCATAAAAATAATTTCCTTTCAATGCCCGCCATCAGCCGACCTTATCCACGCTCGATGGGCACGACACCTCAAGTAACCTAAGGTTAACCCTTTGAAGCAGGGGAGGTTGAGACCTTAAAACTTGTTCATCTCATTCCATATACTTAAAGCCACAACCCCACTGTTTTACGCCTAAAAATCAGCGGGGGACCCCACCACAACCAGCCATGGCCTGTTCCACCACTTCTTTCAGCGCAAGATTAACTGAGGCCAAGTCCAACCTCCAGAAAGCACACCCATCCCCTCGAGATAACTAGGCCACTTCCCGCTCAAAACCCTAAGGTGAACTGGAATCCCCCAAGACAAACCTAGAGACCCATCCTGTTTGATTCCCGACGGCAGCGCACCAGGGCACTCACATTGCTGAGCGCACTGCCAACAGGAACGGGCGAGCCCAGCCCTTGAGAACATCTGAGAAGAAAACAGAACGCGTAACATGTCCAGATTTAGGATCAATCCCAAATGATCACCGAACCCAGGTCATTCCACCCAGATGGATGACAAAACCCCCAGGAGACGGGACAGCTGACCCAGGATGGGGAGGAGCCACACCCCCTCATGTATCTGGTACCATACCACCGAACCTTCGCTCAAGAAGGTGTAAGATTCAACCACTCGCCCCCCGCCTCCCGGCCCAAATGACATATGAGCATCACACCATCCCTATTCCAGGGGGGAACTGTAACTGCGGAGAGAAATCAATTCTGGAGCCAGCAGGGTGAACCTAAGGAACCTACCACCCTGGCTCCTACCATTCGAGCCTTTCAACCATTGGCGCAGGCATGCCAAGCCTGGCGATTTCTGCAGCCATCCCTAACCGGAGTGAATGCCCCCTGAACTCCTCACCATCCCTACCAAGGAACTCGAGCCCCAAGTGGAACACCCCAACGAAATGGGGGCAGGAAACCCATCGTCGAGAACCAAACAAGGAGTGAGGAGGCTGAATAATCCAGGGGACGGAATAGCACTCACCTAAGGAAAACCACCCCCAATCAGAACGGTATATTTCAGACTATCCTGGGTACCTAGTACATCATGCTAGGAGCCCAACTATTACCCTGGGCATTCCATCTACCTCCGGAGAATGCGGAAGAGCCAGGTTATGTCCCCTTCAACATCCAATAATTGAACGGATTCTGTTGATGAATCAGCCAACCAGTACCAACTTACCCTTCCCAAAGACATCCGCCATCGAGATTGTCATCCGCCATCAAGATTGTCATACCCAACTTAAAACCCCCACTTGTTTTAAGTTGGGTACCCCACTCCTTCCATGCCACCAGAATGGGGAAGAGCTCCAAGACAGCCAGCGGCTGCAAGAGCCCCAATGCTTGCCAGCTTACTGGGCACGAGTCAGCACACCATCGAGAGCCCAAAGTGGCCCCAAACCTCCCGAACCAGCTGCCGCAGTAAACCGACGGAAGTCAGTGGAAAGGACCTATGGGGCCTGCCAGTCCCAAGGGCAATACCGACAGGCGAAGCCCAGCTTTCCCAGGAGAGCCAGCTGGTAGCGCAGCTGAAACTCACAACGCCCCCAAAACCACCAACACCTCCTGCCTAAAAGCCGTAAACCACAAGTCAGGGGCAACCGACGTCCCCCTGCCCTGGAATCGATCCCACTATCCCGACCACGACAGCCCATATCCCGATCCACGGTTATGTCCTGGGCCACGGAACTCCAAAGTGCTGTAACACTACCCCAGGAAAAATGCAGCCGCAGCAAAGTGCAGACATGCAATACGGACGGCCCACACAGGAGCGACATTGGGAGCAACCCTCGTGGAGGCACATAGCCACTTAACACTGACTGTCAGAAATACAGCCTGGAAAACAATAACCTGCCGGATGCACCGGCAGCAGCCAGAGAGCTGATTCCACAGTTGCCATCGTCAGCAAGGCCCCAGGGCCCCCCAGCCCTACCATGCGGACCGCTGCGTCATTCCACACAACCCCATGCCTAACCCCTTGGAGGGAACGACAAATGAGTAAATAAGGAGACAGGCAATATCGCCCCCGTCCAAGGGGGGGGTAAGCTTATCAAGCTTCTTGGTAGGCCGCTCCCGCACCACCTGATGGAGTTCTCATATAGACCAAAGGGAAACAGGATGGGCTCCCTGCAACTGGAGCCCTTGTGCTGGAACGGCACGAGGACGCCACTTACCGTGACCGTCGGTGAACCACAGCCTATCCTCCAGCTGGGGAATAGTGAGGAGGAGGGTATCCTCCCACTGACCCCTCCCCCCAATAACGGACGACACATGCCCGCAGGGCCCAGCTCACCGGCGGTGTCCCAGTCACGGCCCGCTCCAGCCATGCGGCGGTCGGTAAGGCCTCTGGCTGGCTACATGGGTCGTGCAGCCTGCCTCCTACAGCCTTCGGCGTGATCACCACCGCCGGAGGACGCAGCCTTTGATGTGGCTGCAGGAGAGGGAGGCCGCATGTTCTGTGTGGCAGTTGAAGGCCGCGTGGCTGGAGCCTCAGACACGCGGCCAGGTGATGCCACCTCCTCAACCGGGCCCGAGGATCAGTGTCGGGGGGTAGCAGAGCGGCCCACAGGTGCAAGGGGCCACAGGGGAGGCCCCAGATGGAGACAGGCCACGGGGGGGAGCACCCACACCCGCAGCCACCCCAGGGGAGAGGATCCAGGCAGCCACCCCAGGGGAGAGGAGAGCACCTGGGTCAGGAGTCTCCGGCCACCAACCATACTGCAGCAGCCCTGAGGGAAGCCAGCAGGCCTCCTCATCCCTCAAGCTGTGAAACTACAGGCCCAGGCAAACAGGAGCAGGAGGACAGGAAGCTGTTTGCTGGCCCGAATCCCCCTCACTAACTTACACAGAACATAATCCCACCCACTCTTTTTGGGCAGGAAAATGTGCTTGTGGTCGGTCAAAGGTGACATATATATCTCCCGAACAGCTGAATGGATTCGAATGATTTTTGGGTATGTTGCTCACATCACCCTCAGCTACCCAGGGATATGTTAGTTTATGTTGATATGTTATGTAGAAAGTATGTTTTTAATAATTGTAAAAAAATTTAACTTTTCTGGCCATTAGATAATAGAGTTTGATAAGTGCTCAAACCCAATTATCTAGCCTGGCCCAGAGGAGGAGTTATGTATTGTATAAATAGAATGCCTGTTGCTTCCAGTAAATCAGTCTTGTTCCAGCATTAAGCTTTGGCTCATGTGTGGATTATTTGGCGACACCAGCGATCTTTATTCCTGTGGATTACTTGGTGATTTTCTTTTATGGGAAGAAGGGAATGCTTGATGGTGATACAGATTACTACCGTCACAGTGAGGTCTAAGCGCTTTTCGGACATTTTGAGCGCTCAGATCCAAGCTATCTGGGGATATGTTGGACATATAGGTTAAACATAGTATTATATGAGTTCCTCTATCTTCTCCTCTATCCTGGAGATAATTGGCTTAAGTGGCTGTGGTAACTTAATAATCTCGAGGTACAGGAAATATCTCTAAGTCAAAACTGTTACAAAAACCTCATAAAAATACATATTTCCTGTACCTCGAGATTATTAAGTTACCACAGCCACTTAAGCCAATTATCTCCAGGATAGAGGAGAAGATAGACTGGCTGCACAGCCTAAATCTGTAGAACTATTTTGGGCATGAAAGCCATGCTTGTGGTCAGTCAAATGTGACTTCCACAAAACTTTTGAACCCCTGCTCTGACCTGGGTGATTTTTGGATATGTTGTTCACCCAGATCAGGGATATATAATTTGTGGGGATATGTGGTGTTTTGGGGTATTTTCTGTGTTTTGTGAAAAATGCATGTTTTCTGCCTGTCGGTAATTGAATTAGTCCATTGTATCACAGGCAGAGGGGAGGGTTTGTGTACATTATCTGGGAGTGCCTAACTGTACAAGAGTGTTTTGATTAGCTTTGTAACTTTGTGTCCTGTGTACCACAAGGTCCACATGGGTGGTAACCTTGTGGGAAAACATGTATAAAAGAGACAATACACCCGCAGTTCATTCTGTTCCTGCTTAACCCTCATTATGTAACCTCGTCTCGTTATTGTAGAGAACTGCTATGTTCACACAGGGGATTGCTATACTTTGTATACACCCCTGAGCTCTAATCACTTAGCTCTTTTAAGGAGCAGAGGCCTTTCCCACACGGTCCTGGAGGACAAAGGCTGATCCAGGGTGGAAGGAAGACGGCAAAACTCCAGGTAAGCTACGGCGGTTGTGGTGTCCGGTGCGGTGTTTTGGTCATGCGGCGTGAGCTAGGAAGTGTCCATCAACAGAGGTGCCCAGTCGGAGTTCCAGGTGATCCGTTACAGCGTGCTTTCCCTGGGTGTGCATCATATCAACGAATGCCCACCAAGGGGATCATTCGCATCCCAAACAGGCCTACGCGCACTGTCCTCGATCCCCATATCGGGGATCGTCCTACCCGCTCCCAACGGAACTATAAACACTCTTTACACCCCTACCTGGGAGCTACAAGGCTAGGCTCATGGTTGCCAAGAAAAATGCTCTCTCGGTGTTTGGTCCCACGGCCACAGGGCCCCGGTGGCTGCGTGGAAGTCTGTGCCAACCAATGAAAGAATGAGCGCCCATTCAAGCTAGGTTCGCGCCATTCTCCTGGTTGGTCGGCACAAGGGAGCGCTGATTTTTGAACGAGTGCTCATGCTCTGATTGGTCACTGCAAGGAGCCGGCGACCAATCAGAGCATGAGCACTCATTCAAACTGGGTCTTGCGCCCTTTCTTCTGATTGGATGGCGAAACCCCTTTCCCTTCCTGAGCGTTGATTGGCGCAAATTGGTGCAATCAGGTTTCACGCCCTTACTTCTGGTTTGGCGGCAAAACCTCTCCCCTACCTGGGCGCTGATTAGCGCAAACTGGTTTCATGTCTTTCAGCGGATTGGCTGTTGCTTGGTTTGGGACCGAAGTTTGAATTGACCGGATCAAACCAAGCAACGTTGTGGAACTGATTTCGGGGATGTACATAGCCTCGAGCCCCAGATTTTAGATGCTAGTATTTCGGGCTCTGTACACCCAATAGACCCGCTATCTTCAGGGATCCCAGATGGGACCTGGGGCTATCTAACGATATAGGTTTTACCTGTGGGACCCCTTCCATTCCCGGGGCGCTGAACCCCGCAGTTCACCCCCCTGTATATAATGTGTTTGAAGATGTAACCCTGTGTGCTGTTGGTATCTCCCAGAGAGAGAGATGGATATCTGGAACCCAACCCCCTCCTGCCTGGGATTGTGTTGGGTTGAATGGAGACCCCCTGCAGGGGTCTATGCTTAAAAGAAGGCTGTTTCCCAAAAAAGTTTGTCAGTGTTTAAACCTCCAGTTCCTGAGGTAAATGGGTCTCTTAATACATTATTAGCGGGGGTAACAAGACGGGTTACAACTTGTACAATTCTCTCCGTACTTAAGTGGATAAAAGTGTTGTGAAAAAGAATGAGAACAGAGTCAATGTGATCAGATCAACATCATTAATGACTTAACAGCAGCCCTTATATTATCAATAATTATATGATAGATTGCAATTATGGCATTATTAGGCAACACATGCAGAAATGTGTGGTATTTAATAATTAAAATATTAAAGGAAATCTATATTGACTGAAACACAAACAGGTATTTGTAACGGATCACCTGGCACCCCAACTGGGTACCTCCGTTGAAGGATGTTCCTAGCGCTTCCTGAGGACTCCAAGAAATGCAGCAGACACCACAACCACCAAACCGGAGAAGCATGAGCATGCTCTCAAGCATATGAATGCTGTAAACAGCTGAACAGGAAAAGCATACAATCAGCTTACAAGCCTGGCAATCAGCATACAATCCAATTCCCCCAATAATGAGACGACACTTAGTTTTGAGGTCAAGCAGAACTGACTGTGCTGGCACATACAGCCTCTTTTATTCACAATCCACAAACATAGTACTGCCCACAGGGTTTTGAAATACAACCAATCAATCCGTATAATACACACAGACACTCCCACACAAAATCCTCCCCTCTGCCTGTAATATGATTACTGAACACTATGGTTAATATAATTATCACAGGCAGAGAAATACAGTATTATAAAACATATCACAGGGGCCCCAAAACATGCAATAACCCCATAAATATCCTCGGAACCGGGGGATCTGGGTGAACCACATATCCAAAATTCACCCAGATCTGTTCAGTAGTTTGGAAGATACAGTTTAATGCAGATTTTGCAGAACATAAACAGGCTATATGAAAAATAATTACTGTATAATGTGTCCCCTGTTGTATAGTTTAAAACTACTGCACGATGTCTTCGTGCACCAAATACCAGCGAGATGGCACCACGTAGAAAAGTCCAAACAGTGACTGAGTTCAAATGGCCGCCATCCATTGTTCTCACCATGTGCCTTTGATACATGAAATGGTGGCCACCCAGTAACTCCACAGTTTGTCTGGTAGTCTATCCAGCTGGACCAACAGATGAAACACATGGGGAACAGTGCAAAAATATGGACAATAGTCATATTTGTGCACAATCTCCAGTTTTGTCACAGGGCACAAATAGTGTTTTCAAATGCCATATATCCCAGGGCCATAGTCAGAAGGTAGGAGGCGGGCAAGCAGCCCCCTCGAAGAACACGTGACGAGGCATGTTCCGCCACAGTATTCCTGTCCCTAAAGCTCAGAAAATGGTATTTAGGTTTCAATGTAAAAGGTGAATTTATTTAGCTTTATTCTAGTGCCACGCAGGTCCGCTATGGTTGCCTCACTCCCATCCCGCCTCCTTCGCAGATATCAAATTTGAAGATCTCAGCCAAAGCTTTGGGTGGTTAAAGTGCACATGTGATAAAATGCATCTCCATGGAGAGCGTGGAGCTGCTGAATGTCAGTGATTGTGGAGCACTGACACAGAAAGCACCTCACTAGATGTGTTCCTAGGCAATAATGCAAATACTGCCTTTACTCTAAAAAGGCAGCGTTTACATTAAAATGCCAGCGGGGACCGGCTATAGACACTGGAAGAGCTACATTAAACTGTAGTTGTTTTGGCCACTATAGTGTCTCTATAACTACTAGTTAATTAAACCTATTAGTATGCTAAATATACTGCTGTAGGTGATACATGTAGATGCTCACCCAGTCTCCACTCCTTCAAAAAAAATCATTAAAACCCACTTCTTCATAAAAGCATATCAATTAAACTGTTAATAGCTCCTGACTGATTCCTCATCTGCAACCGTCACTAGTCTAATACTTTCCTTACCTTTTTGTGTCATTTTACCCCACACCCTCTAGCATGTAAGCTCATTGAGCAGGGCCCTCAACCCCTCTGTTCCTGTGTGTCCAACTTGTCTGGTTACAACTACATGTCTGTTTGTCCACCCATTGTAAAGCGCTGCGGAATTTGACGGCGCTCTATAAATATAATAAAATAAGGAAGAAACACAAAAGTGCTAAAAGGCAGTTACTGTACACACCTCAGTTACCAAGAGTTTTTAATTTTACAATCAGCATATACAAAGGCAATATTTACAACTGATGTACCTTAGAGAATAAGAATCAATTCTAAATATATTCTTAACCGTAAATAAGGTACATTTAAAAAAAAAGGATAGGAGGTATTATTTATGGTTTAACCTGAAAAAGCTTTGCTTTAGTGAAATGATGGGTAGTAAATTAAATATGAATCACAGTTTTAGTATGTTTCACAGTCACAATACAGATCTTCTCATGTTATTCCATTGTTGCTTCATAAAACCTTGGAGTTGACTATACCATTCTCTATATTCAGAACAACACAATGCTTCTCTTTAATGAGAGTTCTCTGATGACTAAAAAAATGTGCATGCTGGCTAAAATATGTCCCACATTAAGAACATGAAAAAGATTTTTCTCCTGTGTGACTTATCTGATGTTTCACAAGCTCGGATTTACTGGGATAACTTTTCCCACATTTATAACATGAGAACGCTTTCTCTCCTGTGTGAGTTCTCTGAAGTATCACAAGCTCTGCTTTTCTGGGAAAATGTTTCCCACATTCAGAACACGAAAAAGGCTTTTCTCCTGTGTGAGTTCTGCGATGTCTAACAAGATGTGAGTGAATGCTAAACTTTTTCCCACATTCAGAACAAGGGAAAGGCTTTTCACCTGTATGAGTTCTTTCATGCACAATAAGGTGTGATTGACGTTTAAAACATTTCCCACATTCAGAACACGAGAAAGGCTTCTCTCCTGTGTGAGTTCTCTGATGTTTCATAAGATCTGATTTACTGACAAAACTTTTCCCACATTCAGAACATGAGAAAGGCTTTTCTCCTGTGTGAGTTCTATTATGCATAACAAGGTTTGAGTGCCGGCTAAAGCATTTCCCACATTCAGAACATGAGAAAGGCTTTTCTCCTGTGTGAGTTCTATTATGCACAACAAGGTTTGAGTGCCGGCTAAAGCATTTCCCACATTCAGAACATGAGAAAGGCTTCTCTCCTGTATGAGTACTCTGATGTCTCACAAGTTCTGATTTACTGACAAAACATTTCTCACACATAGAACATAAGTACGGTCTCTCTCCTGAGTGAGTTCTTCGATGTATAGTAAGACTTGAGTTGTGGCTGTAGCATTTCCCACAATCAGGACATGAGAATGCTTTCTCTCCTGTGTGAGTTCTCTGATGTTTCACAAGCTCAGCTTTACTGGGAAAAGGTTTCCCACATTCAGAACACGAAAAAGGGTTTTCCCCTGTGTGAGTTCTGTGATGTTTCATAAGATTTGATTTACTGATAAACCTTTTCCCACATTCAGAACATGAGAAAGGCTTTTCTCCTGTGTGAGTTCTATTATGCTCAATAAGGTGTGTGTGCCGGCTAAAGCATTTCCCACATTCAGAACATGAGAAAGGTTTCTCTCCTGTGTGAGTTCTCTGATGTTTCACAAGATCTGATTTACTGACAGAACATTTCCCACATTCAGAACACGAGAAAGGCTTCTCTCCTGTGTGAGTTTTCTGATGTTTCACAAGTTCTGATTTATTGACAAAACATTTCTCACATATAGAACATAAGTATGGTTTCTCTCCTGAGTGAGTTCTTCGATGTATAGTAAGACTTGAGTTTTGGCTGTAGCTTTTCCCACAATCAGGACATGAGAATGCTTTCTTTCCTGTGTGAGTTCTCGGTTTTGCAAGATAGGAGTTACATGGAAAAGAAGAGAATGGCATTTCTCCTGTGTGGACAACAAATTCTGAACAGTGAAAACATTTCCACCATTCAGAACATGGGAAATGTTTTGGGTTTCTGTTTACTATCTCACTTGACGTTGTACATGGTTCTGAGCGATTGTTTGACTTTTGAGGAATGAATTCCTTGGTCCTTTTATTACAAAATTTATTCAGAGTATTGCTTAGTGCACTTTTGTTCTTGTCCTGTCCTTCAGGATAACTTCTGCTTTCGGAACCACCTGCAAGAAATGTAATGTACTTGGAGTTAAAGAAAATCTGTCACTAGAAATTATTTTTTTACCAAAATATTTTCATGAAAGATCAGAAATTTGACTATAAAGCATCACGGTGATTGCAAAGGACCATAACTACTTAAGGACCACATGACAGTCTATGCAGTGTATGGTTTTAACGCACAATGACAGCATAGACCATCATGCAGTAAAAGTACCGGCAGGAGTTAAATTAAATCCCTGCTGGTACCATGGAACCCCAGGTATCTTTTGATAGCTGGGTGTCCTTTCTATCAACTCAAGCCAGAATAAATGGTCCCAGGCGGATCTATGCTCGGTTTGCAGAGCTCAACGTGAGCGCTGCGATCAGAGATTTAACTCCCCATTGTTACAATAAGGTGTTAAATCCTTGCTCACACCAGGAAACCCAGGTATCAATAGATAACCGTGTCTCCTCTGTCAGCTGGGGCCATTTTTAGTGACAGGTGAGCTGCAAACAGAGTGAGTTCGGCATGCAGATCTTTCAATTGGGATTTATATCTCCATAGTGAGCAAAGTATTCACTTTTGTTGCCAACGGTTTAGCCATTAATGGCTGTGTTGAGTTATTTTGAGGGGACAGTACATTTACCCTGTTATACAGGCTGTACACTTACTACTTTACATTGTAGCAGAGTGTCACTTCTCCAGTGTTCTCACATGAAAAGATATAATAAAATATTTACAAAAATGTGAGGGGTGTACTCACTTGTGTGAGAACTGTAGGTATATGTCCCTTCAAATGAAAGCCTTTTTTATCGTTAAAAATGGTATATAATACGCGTTGGTGCAGTAAATGGGAAAGGTGGAAATTGCTATTGAATACACAGAGAGCAAAGATTGCATTGGTCCACAAGTGAAAAACAAACAAATTAGGCTTGGTCTCTAAGGGGTTAAATAAGAAATTTAGCATTTTATGCCTTTTTTGTTCTTTTTTAATATTAAATTATGTTTCGTATATAAATATTCGATATGAAATGAAAGCCATGTTACTCCTGAACATAATGATATATTATAAGCGTGGGCTAAGATGGATTATGGTTGAACATATAGCGCATATTCCGGGTTTGTTTACATTTAGATCTGGAGGAGACAGGCTGAAAGCTAGCCGGATAAGAGGCATGTGTGGGTGTGGTGAGTGTAGGTGTAAAAATGGGTGTGGTAGAGAAATTAATTAAGGGGCTGGAATATATAAATAGGCAGTCATTTTGTCTCCTAGCTTCAGCCATCTTAAAAATAACGGTTTGGTAACAGCTTCCTCAGGTTCCTCGTTGCTAGTTTGGTTACTAGAACTTGTCACACAGCCACGGCATGGACATTGATGGTATCCTCGCTGCCTTCAGGGCTGAGGCCCTCCAAGACGGTGGCCGGCACCTGCGTCGTCGAGCACGGCCTCCAGCCCATTTCGACCACTCGAATGTGACTCTGGTCCGGGGGAGGAGCAGGAGCCCTGTTTCAGGCTCGCGGGCCTACTGCCATGCGGGCGCCAGCCGCGGATCGGCTATGCGGAGTAACCCAGCCTCCACGGGTGCACCGGGAACCTTGGGGAGGTAGACAACCCCTTTAGCAGGCTCACAGGCCTGGCGGATTGCGGCCGTGAGCAGGGGTATGATGGCCTTGTCTGCTCCTGTTGCACCAGCCCCCGCATTGCTGCCACGAGGGGCTTACTGCCAGGACATCGCGGGCCGTGCGGAGGATCGCTTCCGCCGGAGCGATGTTGGGACAGTGGCCTTTGCGGCCACAGCGGATGATTCCGGAGGGGCAATCCCCAGCCCCGGCTTCTTCAGTCAGTCAGTCCAATGGGACGGTGAGTAGGCCGCAGGTCGGCAGGAAAGTCTCCTCTGGGTCGGGTGGGTTGGAGGGGGGCAAGGTTTGGCATCCGGTGTGGCTAGTTGATCGGACAGCCCCCCTCCTTCCCCTCTTTCCTACCCCTCTGCCTCCCCTGGGCCTGTGCCCCTTGGGTCTTTTTCAAGCTCTCCGGGGGATGGGCTGGTGGCTGCTGGGGTGGGCTGGGATCTCACCTCCGCTGTCTTCACTGGTTATGGCTGCTCAGCTTCCCGCCCGGCCCCCTTATGCCTCGGTTGGCACGGGCCTTACCGCGCTTGCGGTTCCCGCTGAGCCAGGTCTGCCTGGCCTGGTTCCTCTGTTACCTACATTTCCTATGACTGGCGGTGAGTATGGCAACCCATAAGGGTTTATAAAATACCCCTTCCTGTCTCATTAAAGATGTTTACACTTTGTCTGATACCAGCAAAGTTTATTGTATGTTTAGAAGCCCTATAAAGGGTTAAATGTGAAAGGGTTTATAAAATACCCCTTCCTGTCTTACTGGAGATTCTTGGCTGATATCAGTATATCTAATGGCTAGTGTAGGAACTCACCTATTGAGGCTTGCCTTGACGTGGCAGATGAGCTTATATATTCAAATGCATGGGGATTTAGGCCAGAGCGCAGGTAACGTTCTCTTTGATTTTACTTTGTAGTTTAAGCTGTTGGATACTAAGCTACTGCTGCTGTAAGCTATGTGGATATGTGCCTTCCGATGGGTTGCGCTATTTCATGCTTCTACTTCGAATGTTTTAGTTCCTTTCTGGAATGGGTGGTGAGAGTGGAGTCGGGCCATGGCTCTGTCCTTCACTACCTTGATGATTTCCTGTGCGTTGGGCCAGCCAGGTCACCGGTGTGTTCCCAGGTCTTGCAGACTGTGGCAGACGTGGCCTATTCCTTTGGGGTTCCCTTGTCCCCCGACAAAACGATGGGCCCCACGACTCTCTTGAGTTTCCACAGAATCGAGATTGACTCAGTACATGGGGAGTGCCGTCTGCCATTAGAGAAGGTGCAGGATATGCGCAGGGCAGTTATGGAGACTAAGGATCAGAAAAAAGTGACGCTCTTGGCACTGCAATCACTCCTGGGCAAGCTGAATTTTGCGTGCCGGGTTATGCCCATGGGCAGGGTTTTCAATCGCTGTTTGGCGGTGGCTACTGCGGGGATTACTAGGCCTAACCATTTTGTGCACATTACTCGGGCGTTTCGGGAAGATCTGACAATGTGGGATGCTTTCCTTGCCGGTTATAATGGTCAGTCCTCCTGGCAGCAGCCGGAGGTTCCTATCTCGGTGCTCCACCTGTTTACAGATGCAGCAGGGTCTGTGGGTTTTGGGGCCATTCTTGGCACACAGTGGTGTGCGGAGTCCTGGCTGGCAGCATGGCATTCTGCAAGTCTGACAAAGAACCTGGCGTCCCTTGAACTGTTCCCGATTGTGATGGCAGTGGATCTGTTGGGGTCGGTTCTTAGGGATCAGCGGGTTGTATTCCATTGTGTCAATCTGGAGGTGGTATTGGCCATTAACAACCTGACGGGCTCTTCTCCTCCAGTGGTGCGACTTTTGAGGATATTGGTATTGCGCTGCCCGTCCTCAAACATGTCTTGTCGAGCGGTGTACATTCCAGGAGTTAAAAATGTTATAGCGGATGCTCTCTCTCGTTCGCAGTGGCAGGCGTTTTGGTTGGAGGCCCCGGAAGCGGACATGGAGGGTGTCCCTTGTCTGAAGGAGCTGTGGTCCCTTGGGCTACGAGAGTGAGTAGTTGGATCCAATCGTCGGTTTCGGCAGCCACGTGGTTTCGGGAAAACTGTTGGGGCTTAGCTTCTGGTTCAAGCTTGCCAGGGTACCTGACGTTACAGAGGACTACCTAGTTGCCTTGGCTATGCGGGGTTGGCCCGTTTCATGCTTCAGGGCGTACAGGTCGGTCCGCCCGCAGGTCCCGGGCCCTTCCAGTTCATTGGGGTCTCTCGGAAGGCATTTAACTACTTGGGGATCCCGGGTAAGGAATTTTGGTAAGGAATTTGGGGGTCACTCTTTTCGATTGGGGCAGCGACGGAGGCTTCCCACTTAGGGTTTTCGGAACAGGTTATTCAGAGGATTGGTAGGTGGAAATCTGGGAGGTTTAGGTCCTATGTACGTCCCACCAGGCTGATTGCTTTTCCCCCTGCGTTTTCTCCACAGGGTCCAAGAGACTGGTTTATCGCCCATTCATAAGTGTATTGGGCCCATCTGAGGGAGGGGGTACGACCTGGAGGGACCCGTCTTGGCCTTGCTGTGGAAGTGGCGGATGTTCGCTGGTTTGGTATCCGGGGCATGCGGTGGGGACAGCTTTTACTGGAACTCATGCAGCTGTCCCCTTTACTGGGGCCCCCGGACATTGTAGTCAAACATCTTGGGGGCAATGATTTGGGGGCACTACCTGCATGGGGTTTGGGGGATTTGATCAGGCAGGACTTAGCGCGCTTGCGCTATCCAGGTGTATGTGTAGTCTGGTCAGAGATGGTGGCCCGTAATTAGTGGAGGTGTGTTCGCGCGACCAGAGGGCTATGGAACGCTGCAGGATTAAAGGGAACAAGCGAGTTTCCAAGTTTGTGGTGGGGATGGGGGGGTTTGCAGTTAAGCACCGCATATTTGAGCGATTTATTTTCGCTCGGATGGGGTCCACTCAACGGACGTGGGCCTGGACTGGCTTAATTTGGCGCTGCAGGATGCATTGGAGCAGGCTATGACTTTGGTTGGGGGTCGCGTCTGTTGATTTAGGGTTAAAGCAGCGGGGCTAGTGGTGGGTCTAGTCCTTGCCAAGCCTGGTTGGAGAAAGAGTACAGGGAGAAAATGGAAAGTTGGCCTGGGTCCCTCCCCTAACCTCTGGGAAAGGTTTGTCATTTGGGCGTGCCCACTGAGTCAAAAGGTCAGCCAGTGGTTAGCATGGTGGTAAGTGAAGGCCAAGTTGCAGGCCAGGTGGTGTTAAGGCCTAATTGGAGGCCATGTGGTGTTTGGGGCGAGGGGGGAGGGTAGGTCCCAGTGGAGTACTCTGGTCTTGGTGATGGAATGGCTTGGCAAGGACAAGTTTGCATTTAAAGATGTATATATCATGTTGATATGGTTATAATGTTATTTATTGGTTATTTATATTTGGAATTTATAAATAAAAGCTGTGGTCTGTTTTACACCGCAATCTATGTCTCAGGTCTTTATTGGGGGTAAAAATTGGTTGGTAATAAAGGTTAGTCGCACTACACAATAACCACTACCTCCACACATGTCATGACTCAGTCATTAAGGGGTTATATAAGAATGTTTGCACTTTACACCTTGCATTTGAAATTGTGTATACACTTTCATTTGCTTTTCAAAATATAAATTTAGTCCATAAAGTCCATAATTAGTCCATAAAGACTCACCTACCTTAATTTAAATTTCAGGAATGAGTACCAGCTTATGCAGAAACACATTTCTCTGCAAGTAATTCATTCCACCTTTTAAAGGTCTTCAAATATCCTGAGAATGACAATTGTAGATTATGCTAACGTAGTGTACCTATAATCTTAATTCTTATTATTAAAATTAAGATTATAGGTACACTACATTAGCATAATGTACAATTTTATCACATGACAGGAGGCTTCAAATTTAGCATTTTTAACGCTGTGGTATGAGCGAGAAGGATGTGTGTGTGGTTTGACAAAACTAAAATATACGGAAGGTGTTTTTCCGTGTCCAATCCGCCGCATGTAAAATATGTGATAGAGAGGCCCCCGCCGTGAAGGCCGAGAAGCGGCCGCGCCTCGTACTGAAAGCGCACTAAAACATGTCTCCACCCCAGCTATCGATGATAACCAACGAACCCATCTAGACAGAGTGGTCGTGGGAAGTGGCTTGTAGGGTTGGTATAAGAGACCAGAAGCTGTCCTGAATGTGACGATCTAAGGGGAGTCGTGATCTCCATGTAACGAAGTAACGCTTTAACTACACAAAGACGGGGAACCGCCGAAAAAAAAAGGGGTATGATATAGACCCGAAAACCCGTCCACGTCAAACGTCCGTACATCTGATACCCGACGAAAAGACACTAGACATAAAAATAGCGTGACTTTGGCCGCCAGCTGACGGAGAGATAGGTCCGTGTTACGGTGGCTAGTCTCAAAAGGAAGCGAAGAACCAAATCAACATCCCAAAAACGGTTATACTTTGGCGCAGGGTTCTGGACAGTTTGATATCCCGCAGTAAGCAGCATATCAAAGGATCCTGACTGACCGGAGTGCCGTGAATCGTAACATGCGTCGCCGAAATCGTGGAATGTATCACGTTAATGGAACGGTACGATCAGCCCGTAATGAAAAGCGGTGATAAAAAATTCAGCACCGAGGAGATAGGGGCAGTAAAGGGATCGCAGTCCCTTCCCATACACCAGCGACTCCAGGTGTTCCATGCAGATACGTAACTTCGTTGACTACCTGGTGTCCATGAGTGTCATAATAGGTCTCTAATTGGTTGCGATAGTCCCTCGACGTTCCAGGCTCCCCTGAAAGACTCCAAGCCACCAACTCCAGACGCTCCTGCATAATCAACGGATGAGGTTCTCCTTTCGGGTCTGCCAGAAGGAAGGGTAAAACTGGAAGGAGCAGAGGGTGATCCTGAGTCAGATCCAACAATTCTGGGTGTCAAGCGTGACTCCTTCGTAGCAGTGTGATGAGTAGCATCAATGTCTTCGCTACTCTGATCCGAAGTTCGTATGTGTGCTTTCGTATGTGAAACGGCCCCGGGAAAATCGCTTGGATAGAGGATGAGAGTAGTCCAACAATCCTTTCTAGTAGGCGAAGGGTTGTGGTGCCTTTCCGGAGTACCTGTCGATTTTCCTTTTGAATCGCCGCTATCTATGATGTGGGAAGGCGTAATACACACGAGGTGGGATCTATTCCAAAGCAGGGGAACTTAATCACTCGGGAGGGGGACCGAGCCGACTTCTCTCTGTTCACTACCAACGGTTCCCGAAACTGTATTATAAATCTCGTCTGTGACCGCAGTCTGGAATTGGATCCGCAAAAAATCAGCAAGTCGTCTAGGTATATGAGACAGCACATACCCCTTGCTCTCAAGTGTGCCGTGAACGGCTTCAGAAGCTTCGTGAGACACCATGGGGTCGAGCAGAGGCCGAACGGTAGACACGTGAACTGGCAAGGTCGATCCTGCCAAGTGAAGCGAAGGAAGGAGCGAGTTATGTGCGCCATGGGAACCAATAGGTAAGCGCCCTTCAAATTCAACCACGCAAACCAGTCGTTTTCAAGGAGTAGACCCCGTAAGAGATGGATAGCTTCCATCTTGAAGTACCGTTACGCCACAAATCCATTGAGTTGGCGTAGGTTGATGATGATAGTCTCCCGTCTTCTTTCTTACTACAAAAACATTGCTGAAATAGCCCTGATTGTCTGGAGCGAACTCTACGGCTCCTTTGGCGAATGGGTCTCGAATTTCCTTGTCTATGAGCTATATGTGGGCTTTCGCTGCCTGTAGTGGGGTTGGTCGTACGACATATACCGGGGTACTAGTGAATTCTATCACGTACCCCTTTATCATTTGGAGGACCCAGGCATCTGTGGAGATGGCTTTCCAGTTCTGTGGAAGGAGAGACAACCTGCCTGGGGTTATCTCTGACAAAGTAGTGGGAGAGGCATGCTCACCTGAATTGAATCATCCAATACCTCTGCCTCTAGCGCCCCTTGCGCAGAAGGTTCTCCTTGCAAACATAGAAACATAGAATGTGACGGCAGATAAGAACCATTCGGCCCATCTAGTCTGCCCAATTTTCTAAATACTTTCATTAGTCCCTAGTCTTATCTTATAGTTAGGATAGCCTTATGCCTATCCCACGCATGCTTAAACTCCTTTACTGTGTTAACCTCTACCACTTCAGCTGGAAGGCTATTCCATGCATCCACTACCCTCTCAGTAAAGTAATACTTCCTGATATTATTTTAAACCTTTGTCCCTCTAATTTAAGACTATGTCCTCTTGTTGTGGTAGTTTTTCTTCTTTTAAATATAGTCTCCTCCTTTACTGTGTTGATTCCCTTTATATATTTAAATGTTTCTATCATATCCCCCCTGTCTCGTCTTTCCTCCAAGCTATACATGTTAAGATCCTTTAACCTTTCCTGGTAAGTTTTATCCCGCAATCCATGAACCAGTTTAGTAGCCCTTCTCTGAACCCTTCTGAAGATACGGTCTCCAGTACTGTGTACAATACTCCAAGTGAGGTCTCACCAGTGTTCTGTACAATGGCATGAGCACTTCCCTCTTTCTACTGCTAATACCTCTCCCTATACAACCAAGCATTCTGCTAGCATTTCCTGCTGCTCTATTACATTGTCTGCCTACCTTTAAGTCATCAGAAATAATCACCCCTAAATCCCTTTCCTCATATGTTGAGGTTAGGACTCTATCAAATATTCTGTACTCTGCCCTTGGGTTTTTACGTCCAAGATGCATTATCTTGCACTTATCCACATTAAATGTCAGTTGCCACAATTCTGACCATTTTTCTAGTTTACCTAAATCATTTGTCATTTGGCTTATCCCTCCTGGAACATCAACCCTGTTACATATCTTAGTATCATCAGCAAAAAGACATACCTTACCATCAAGACCTTCTGCAATATCACTAATAAAAATATTAAAGAGAATGGGTCCAAGTACAGATCCCTGAGGTACCCCACTGGTGACAAGTCCAAGCTTCGAATATATTCCATTAACTACAACCCTCTGTTGCCTGTCACTCAGCCACTGCCTTACCCATTCAACAATATTGGAATCCAAACTTAAAGATTGCAGTTTATTGATAAGCCTTCTATGTGCAACAGTGTCAAAAGCCTTACTGAAATCTAGGTAAGCAATGTCTACTGCACCACCCTGATCTATAATTTTAGTTACCCAATCAAAAAAATCAATAAGATTAGTTTGGCATGATCTCCCTGAAGTAAACCCATGTTGTCTCTGATCTTGAAATCCATGTGTTTTTAGATGTTCATCAATCCTATCCTTTAACATGGTTTCCATCACTTTCCCCACTACTGAAGTAAGGCTTACTGGCCTATAGTTGCCCGACTCCTCCCTATTACCTTTCTTGTAAATGGGCACAACATTCGCTAACTTCCAATCTTCTGGGACTACTCCTGTTAACAATGATTGGTTAAAGATGGTTCTTGCGGATGGGAAGAAGGGTTGAGGTGTGGGTTGATGTCTGGGGCCTGAGGACCAGAAGTGGCTGGTGGCCCGACATCTCTGCCGACCAGCCCTGACGAAAAAAAATCCGGCTCGGTGTAGGGTTGCGGAAGACCTGCCTGATGGAAAATTGTGTCTTGTTCAGGGTGGTATACAGGCCCACGTGTTTCTTGAGCTCTGCGATAAATGACTCTCCAAACAATAGCCGGTACGTCTGAGGGCCTAGCTCTTTCTTCCCTAACTCCAATAGTTTGGAATCCATCTTTAATAGGGCTGCTTTGCGCCGTTCTGTGCACATGGCTGCATTTGAGCTCCCCAGCATGCATATTGCCCTTTGCACCCATTCCCTCACACGATGAGCTTCTAGAGGTGAGTCTTGGGTGAGGGACAGGTCCGCAAAATATAAAATTTTGCCAGGTGACCGATCATGTCCAACATTTTATCCTGAACCTTTTTAAGCTCTATTTCTACACCCTTCCGTGGATCCCGGCCTGAACGGGACATAAATACCACCACCGTGGTATTGAACTCCAGGGTGAGGGTTATCTTGTTTAGTAATAGAGGGCATGGGCATTCCGCCCCGAGCTTGGCTCGAACTTCCTTTTTCATAGGCCTCCTGAGTCAGAAGTGGACAAAGTGTGCCAGGTGATCCGGTAAACCCCATTCTGATGACGTTGGATGTCGGATGGTGCGTGGGTCGAATATGAGAGTGCTCAGTGTGTCAAAGAAGACACTGACCTCACATGAAGCGTTATTCACCTCTCTAAGGCCTTTCTTGCTAGGGCACCCCGCACGTTCCCTGCCCTTAGTGTAGCTCCCCTCCTCTTGGGGCCGGTCCTGACACTCTTCCTCTTCAGAGGGAGGCTCGTCTGCTCTCCATTCTTCCATGATCTCCAGAGAAGGTTGAGGGATGGAGTCCTTGTCCCCCTATGACGGAGCCTGAGAGGTGAATGGTTAGGACATTCCGAGTGACGGTTTCTCTTAAGCTGGGCCTTCCCTCCCCCTTCGGGGAAGCCGCGGTGGAGCCCTTCAAATGACGTTTAGACTATAAGGTGTCTGACCTAACGTTGTCGGTATCTCTAGCTTCCATTGGTGGTGGGGCTGTCGCACCCGCCATGTCAGATGGGTTGTTTGCCAGCATTTTGGCGAGGACTTTTTTCCACTGAAGCTGCCACGGCAGCATTAATCCTCGACTGAAATCGGTCGTGGGAGATTGAGGGGAGTCCGACATGTTGGGTCACACTCTTCCGGTCTGTGGGAGACAGAACAGGTGTCTGGTACAGTAGTACACTTACTGTAACTCAGTGGGCCTCCACGTACAACTAGGGGTCACCCAGAATTTCAATTAATCAGTACCACTTAGTAAAATCCAGGAGTGGTCCGAGGAGGGGGTCACCCTCGATAAGACCGGGCTGAGCGGTCTGCAATGCCGGGACGTAGCACGTGTATGGGAGGCGTGGTACACGTGTATAATCCAAGGGATCACCCTTATATGGTACAGTACTGTGGAATTTGGCAGCACTGTGAGCTCTCCTTCCCGGCTCAGGGAGGGGCATACGGATCACCCCAGTTGTAGCATGGAGCTGCCGATATACATGCATCTAGTGCGCCTTGGTCTGTGCATACAGTGACAGAGCGCACTCTGTGGATATAAGCCCGTACTAGGGCGCGGGGGGTCACCCCTATATATGTATGTCACTACTACCAGAGTAAGACTTGCTTGGGGGTCACCCAGCACAGGGGGGTCACCCCAGTATTCGTATGTCACTTAGGACAGGAGCCAGACTCGCTTGGGGGTCACCCAGCGTAAGGGGGGGTGTCACCCTTGTACAAAGATGTCACTAGGACAGATGACTGCCACGCATCGGGGTTACCCAGCGTAAGGGGGTCACCCCTGTTATCCACTCCGTTATGTGCATCCACCACTGTATCCTGGTCAATGTATCCCTGTGGAGAAGGAGTGTATCCAAATAGTTGGGAGTAGGGAGCTGGGCAAGTTAACCGCTCTAATCTATCTCCCTCCAAACAGACTGTGTAAGGGTCACACTATTTGCACACATTAGGGTTAATTTATACCCATGCAAGTCCAGAAGTTGTACATATAAAAACTGTGACAGATTCATCTGTAAGACTAATATTGCTGGTTCGTCTAGTTTGCCTTCCTTTCGTGGAATTGCCTGTCCGTATACCCCTATTCGTCTGTTTGAACTTTTACCAAATTAACTTACCGAACGGACGGCCACCCAGAAGAGAAGTGTGCTGCTGTTTAACCTCTTGATCCGAATTAGAACATTGTGGTTAACCGCAGACACCTCTTAATTATAACCGAATGCCGGGTGGTCGTCGTTTGTATGCCGACCACGAGGGGGCGGCCATTTTAGAACAGGCGAAAGACCAGCGGTGTTCGGTGCAGATTCTATGGAACTAAAAATGGACACTTTTTCTACCGAACACCGCTGAATCCACCAACCGCCCTTCTTATTCGTCGAGGCATGCGAACACCGGGCCGTTCAGGAGTTTCGAGGATACAAATGAACTTAACCCAGATAGCCATCCCATGGAGTCAATCGCATACCGAAAGACTTGTAAGAAACTTTGACTTCATGGCGATTGAACTGTGCGTATGGGAATCTGAGCGCTATTCGGTAGGAATATGCACTCAGATCCAGGCTATCTGGGGATACGTTATACGAATTGAATATATTCGGAAGTTGTATAATTATTCATTTTTGTGTGTTTTCTGTGTTTCATTTAAAATGGCGATTTGCCTCTGTCCTGTGAGATAATTGAATTACTTCTCAATTATCTCCAGGACAGAGGGGAGGGAACCAGGATGCATTGTGGGAATATTTTGTGCCCTTATGTCCTAAAGTGCCACAAATCTGTCTGTAATTACAGTCTCCCAGTTGGTCCCCTAGGGGAGTGTCCACCAAGTGGGAGACCTGCATAAATACAGGCGGGTAGCCCACAGTAAACCCAGTTCTTGTTTTACCCTTAATGCGGAGCTTGGTCTCGTTATTGGGGGGGATTTATTACACGTGGTTAGCGACTGATTGCTGGAAACGTAAGCTGATTGGAGAATATATTGGTTCGGCTGTTAGCCACAAATCGTCGATTTATAGTTCGGGAGTTTGGAGCACCCGTACGGGTCCCGTTCGGGAGATTGGTGCATTCCCCTGGTTGCAGTTCGTACGGTTGAAGTATACACAAATTGAGCCTGCACCGCGATCGGCTTGTGGAATGCATTATGTATGCCAGCAGACTTACAAATCAAATAACAATATAATAAAACAACAGTAAAAAATCAGGGTAAAGTAGGGAGAAGGGTAACAGGGGATGAATACCATACCATAAATGTCCAAATATAATGACAATTGCAATATAAATGAAAAAAAACAGTTTAGAGCAAATACTCTGACCTGTGCCTTGGCTGGAGCAGCACCCAAAGATGAAGTCATGTGTCTGCCAGGGCTTTATATATGGATGTGATGCCTGTTACTGATTGTTTTTAAGTTTATTGATTGACTTGTGCTGCTGGAGGCAGGGCCGGATTAACATAGGGGCTGATGGAGCTGCAGCTCCAGGCCCAGGCCCATGGAATAGGCCCATTTAAAAAAAAAAAATAATAATTTTTTTTTTTTTTTTTTTTACACACTACTCTTAGGTTTGCCACCTGACTGGTATTTTAATGGCACAGATGGTATTTGAGGATGCCTGGCTGTGCCAGTATTGCAGTAATACCGGCAGAACAAATGCAGGTAATTTTCTCAGAACAAATGGAAATTACTCTGCAATACCAGCACTGGCCAGTAGGGGTGTGGAGAGAGGCAGGGATAGGAAGTTACAGAATATCCCTGCCTCTTTCTACTACTCACTGACCCATGGGGGAGCAGCAACACAGCACAGAGAGTCCAGACAGCAGCTGTACAGCTCAGGTAAGTGAGGGATGGGGGGAAAGGCAGCAGGGACACATGGGGACACTGAGACACTAGGGGACACAGACACTAGGGGACACATGATGACACATACACAAGGGGACACTGAGACACTAGGACACAGACACTGGGAGACCTGGGAACACTGAGACACTTGGGGACACTGGAAAACATAGGGACACTGAGACACTAAGGGACACTGAGACACTTGGGGACATGGGGACACAGACACTAGGGGACACATGGGAACACAGACACTAGGGGACACGGAGACACTAGGACACATGGGGACACAGACACTGTGAGACCTGGGGACACAGACACTTGGGGACACTGAGACACTAGGGGATACATGGGGATGCTGAGACACATGGGGACTCTGTGAGACATAGGGACATTGGGAGACATTGGGACACGGAGACACTATGTCCCCCAGCCAGTGTCCCTAGTGTCTCAGTGTCCCTGGGTGACTTGCGAGACTCTCAGTGTGACTAGTGTCCCCATGTGTCCCAATGTCCCCATGTCTATGTCCACAACTGTCCCCATGTCTCCCCAAGTATCTGTCTCCCAGCCAGTGTCCCCTAGTCTCCCAGTATCCCCTAGTCTCCCAGTGTCCCCTAGTCTCCCAGTGTCTGTGTCCCTAGTGTCTTAGTGTTCCCAAATGTTTCAGTGTCTCCATGTCTCCCAGTGTCTGTGTTCTTAGTGTCTCAGTGTGTCTGGTGTCCCCATGTCTCCCAGTGTCCCTATATGTCCCAGTGTCCACATGTCTATGTCCACAACTGTCCCCATGTCTCCCAGTGTCCCTAAGTGTCTGTCTCCCAGCCAGTGTCCCCTAGTCTCCCAGTGTCCCCTAGTCTCCCAGTGTCCCCTAGTCTCCCAGTGTCTGTGTTCCCATGTCTGTGTCCCTAGTGTCTTAGAGTCCCCAAATGTTTCAGTGTCCCCATGTCTCCCAGTGTCTGTGTCTCAGTGTCCCCATTTCTCCCAGTTTCCCTAAATGTCTCAGTGTCCCCATGTCTCCCAGTGTCCCCATGTCTCTCAGTGTCCCCAGTATCCTAGTGACATTGGGACACTGGGAGAAATGGGGACACAGACACTGGGTGACATGGGGACACTGACACTGTGATACATAGGGACACTGAGACACTGGGTGACTTGCGAGACTGAGACACTGGGAGACAGGGAGACACTGGGAGCAATCCATCTATACAGCAGAATCAAACTGTGAGTAGTTTGTTGGTGATTTTACAGAATTTTCTCTGATGTCACTCCTTGTGATTTACACGCATAACTAATTAATTATACAAATGATTAAGGCTGGTATTTTTTTCCAAGAAAGGTGGCAACTTTAACTACTCTTCACATACTCTTGCCTAAAGGAGCACTATAGTGTCAGGAGCACAATCATGTATTTCTTACCCTATTATGTTAAAACCACCACCCTGGCCCCTTCGTCCCTCCCTAAATATAGTAAAATATTACTTGTATTCAATTCTGCAGCTGCTGGCTCAGAAGTGGTGGTCTGAGCAAATTACAATACTTCCCCATAGGATTAGCTGAGACTGTCAACTAGGCAGATCAGGGGCAGAGCCAGCACAAGTCCAACATAGCCCTGGCCAATCAGCATCTCCTCATAAAGATAAATTGGATCACTGCCTCTCTATGAGGAAAGTTTAGTGTCTGCATGCAGAGGGTGGAGACACTAAATGGCAGTGCTGCACACTAGGCAGTACTGCCCCAGGAAGCACCTCTAGCAGCCATCTAAGGAGCGGCCCGTGGAGTTATTTTCTCTGAAAATACAGTGTTTACTGCAAAAAGCCTGAATGGAATGATTCTACTTACCAGAACAAATACAATAAGCTGTAGTTGTTCTGGTGACTATAGTGTCCCGTTAAGTTGGAAGCTTAAGAGGGATGTATGGGAACAAAACTTGTGTGCACTGGCTGACATTAAAGTTATTTTAGGTAATGCAGACATTGGTCTCTCTAACACTGTGACATGTCCCCTTTCTTCTACACTCACTACAGACACCTTTTCTCTGTCTCAGACTATACCAGGAACTTCTGCCTGCTAGTAAGACGGTAAGGAGACAAGTGGACCAGCCAGTGCTAGGGGACAGTCCTTAGAAAGAATGGAGTAAGCGCATCATTAGACGCATTTATGTCAAGCTTAAGGTGCTGCCTGCATAATATGCCCTTAGTTGGACAGCCTGCAGGATTGGCAGGCATTCATGCCAGGCTGACCTTCCAATTCTTTGGACAAACATGCCCCCTTTTTGGGCATGTTCACCCCTTTTGGCAGGTCTTGTCACGTGATTTGCGCCAGTGGCACACCCTTTTACCCCGCCCATTGACTTCCTGCTTCACTGGACACTGCTGTTAGGGGTTATGGATTTACTTGAAAGATGAAAGCATAAATTAGAGATAAATTAGCATAGAGTATGTGTTTTCTTATAGCTGCATCCTATGAGTTTCCCTCCAGCACCATCTCCATCAGATACATGACGCTTGGGAGGTATGATTGTTTTAGTGTTTTTGGTCGATAAGATTCCTTAATTAGGCCCATCATAATTGTCAGCACCAGGCCCACTGTGCTCTTAATCCGGCCCTGGCTGGAGGCATAAAGTAAAGAAAGTTATGCAAAATATGAAGCCTCCTGTCATGTGATAAAATTACCCCTCACCTTCCACACAGTAAAGGAAACTTCATAGGTCATACCATTCCTACAGTCAGATGTGAATAGGGTCCTTTAACATTACATTAGCATTGCAGAGATTGTTAGAAAACATTTTAAAATTCCTTTATTTTAGAAACAATGTAACTGTATTTGCTGTATATGGGAGCTATGCTAGTGCGAGCATTGTTTTCACATGATATCACTATTTTAATACACTGTACTGCTAGTAATGCTATTGGGCTTACATATACATACAATCAGGGTATTTGGCCTTTTTTTTGTCCTAGCTACTGTATGGGAGAAAAAAAACGTGCATTTTTATTTTTACAAATATTTAAGAAACTGAAATATTGCAAAAAAGGGATACTGTATATACTGTGTAAAGCATTTCACTAGAGGATGAACGAATAAATGGAGAGAAAAAAACTACTATACATTTTCATGTATGGACAGCAATAGACACCATTGATATTTAACATATTTATATACTAGATATGTATTACATGTATCAAATATATCCTATGCTAAGATTTTTTAACCCAAACACAAAGGCCTTGATTTAATTATTTTGCATACACTTTTCAAATAATCCCAATCTTTTAGAAAAACCTCTCGAATTATTTATCCACAGATTCAAAGTTTTTCTAACAGGTTTTGATTTTAAAAGCATATCCAAAATAATTAAATCAAGGCCAAATTTCTCCTATTGCTTCCTCTTCGCTTCCTCTCATCTTATCTACTTTGTCGTATGTATATTTCCTACGCTTGACCTTCTTTGACTAAAGGAAGAGCTTAAGTCAGCACCGTGTCCTGTGGATCAAATACATTTTCCCACAATACTCACCCTCTTCCCTGTTCTCGCAATGCCTCTGTATCGGAGTTTCCTGTGCCCCGGTTGGGTACCTCTGCCGACAGATGCTCCTAGTGCTCACCGAGGACTCCAAACACCATCAGCACCCCAGTCCCAACATACAGCTTGGATGAGAACTCTCCCTCCTCTACCCACCCTGGACCTACGACAAGGTTTCAGGTTCCACTGGATGAACCTCTCCTCCAAGAGAGAGTAGCAGGAACAAGCTCTTAAAAGAGCTTAGTGATTATAATCCCTGATTATAGTGATATAGCAATCCCCAGGGTAGATGTAGCCTTTCTCCCCACACATGAGACAAGGCTCTATGTTGAGGGTAAAACAGGAACTCAGCAGATCTGAGGGTTTATTGAACAGGCTGCTTTTATAGAGTGGTTTCAGGCCAGAGGCACACCCCCTGGACCTTGTGGGACACAGGAATACAAGATACATAAACCAATCAAAACAATAGCACAAGGAATGACACTCCCACACACAGTACACATTCCCTCCCCTCTGCCTGGGAGATAATTGAATAAAGTACTGTAAGAAACTGAATTATCTCCAGGCAGAAAATCCACATTTAGCCCAAAGTACAGAAAACCCCCAAAACACAACATATCCCTATCTTACACCCCCAGATAGCCCTGATCTGGGTGAACAACATATCCAAAAATCACCCAGATCAGAGCAGGGTTTCAGGGAATTCCTGAAAGTCCTTTTTCTGACCCAGCGTGCACATGGTCCCATGCCCAAAACCGTTCCATACACTCGACGACAAAACACTGCTGGACAATTTATGATGGCCGCCGCCACATGTTTGAATCTGTTCCAGTTAAAAGTCCAAGGGGCAGAAACAGTACTTTTGAACATGGGTTATCACAGGGCCCATAGTCCCAGGGTAGGAGGCTGACAAACAGGTTCCTCCAAAAACCAGTGGAGAGGTTACTTTCGCCACAGCCTCCTTTCACTAATCCTGAACGTCCTGTCAATTAGACAAGGCACCGGTGAATTCACCGAGTTTCGGTTGGGAATTTTATACGAATTAATGAAATTCTGATCTGATCCATGCCACTTATGGTCCCCACCTGCAGCTTTAATAAACTAAACAAACGAACAAAGGCCGAATTGAAATTTGAGTTTCGTTAATTCTTTTTAATTTCTATTCGTTCATTTGTCATTCTGACGAATGAACAAGTAGCCTAATTTCCCGTCCGAATTTCAGACAAAAGCGAATGCCCAACACTAAGCCTAGTATACCTAAGTCTCGGCTAGTGCTTGGGTGAATCTGCTACACTGCTATAAATACTAAAACATACTTTGGGATCTATAACGACTGAAGGAAAGGAATTGCTTGGCGGCGACGCTCGGATGGGCCACCACATTACGCTTGGAGGACTAGGGGATTGATTGAAATAGCTTTTGATTTCAGTAAATATGCTGCAAACACAACAAAATGACAATTTTCTGTTTTTTACAAGCTATAAAGTGTTTTGAAACTCCCTCTGTGTAATAATTTGGAACAGTGCATTGTAAGTTTTTTATGTTTTAAAAAAATATATATATACTGTTATCATTAAGAGGTTTGTTCAATAAAATTTGAATTGTACTCTTAATAGTTGATAACATGAGAATTATGCTGACTGTTATTTACATCAATTATTTAGGTAAATGAGAAAAATATAATTTGCATAATAATTTGGAACAGGGTGTATGATGTCACAGAGTAGCAGAAAGAAGGAAAAATTAAATAACTAAACCAGGGCACAACAAATCCAAAGCACAAAGTCGACTAAAGATTTCACCCTTGTGCCTGGGATTTGTCAGTAGTGGTTTTGGTGACTTTACTGTCCCATTAAGAATTGCATTTTTCTCATTGAAAATTAAAATTTCTTAGCAATACCAGATAGCCAAGAACTAAACAATATTTGCAAATCACAGCAGCTGCAATGAACAGTCTCTCCCTTTAACCTGGGAACAATGCACAACAGAGTCTGTCTGGGGCATAATGAGTAACTAAACACTGCAAACTCTCACCACACTGAGCTGTATGGAGAGCTTCACAATAATTCAGCTCCCCTGCAGAGATCAGGAAGGTAGAGAAGCCTGGAAAAGAGAAAAGCCAAGATCTCTGATCCATAAAGGAGCCTAATACCACCTACATGTTTATTACTAACCTGGGCCAGTATTCAAAAGACTATCCCGCAGGTGGCTCCTGACATACGGCTCTTCCCCTCGCTCAATCGCTGATATAATCAAAGGCGTCATGTGAATCCTTCCTGTATTTAACGGGACACATTATTATCAATTAGAATTTAAAGATACACATTTATTATGATTACGATGAGTTAGGAACATAGGTGAAGAAATGTCAATTTGTCCCAGATATGAATATGTTCTTATGAGAAAGATTTCCTCTAAATAGGGTGAAGTTTTCTTACCCAGAGAGCTGAGGGTCTGGTAATTCTCCATCATCACATCCCGGTAAAGCTCCTTCTCTTCATAATTTAAATAGTCCCACTCCTCCTCGGAGAAGTAAACGGCCACCTCTTCAAACTCACACTGATCCTAAATAAGAAATGTCATTGTTACAGATCATCAATCTACAACAGGATTAATTGGCCAGACATTAACTATAACTACTACAAATTATAGCCTTTAATTGTTTCAGATAAGCTTTTCAAAGGAAAATTACCATAGACTTCAATGGTGGATTCTGTAGATAAATAATCAGAAAAGATTTTCTAACAGATTGAGATCATTAGCAATGTTTATCCCAAAAAACTAAATTGTGCCCCATCGTATAAAGATATTATTTTTTTTCTCTCCCTCTACCATATCCTTGAGTTATACTTCCCCATCACAAAGACAGGAAGATAGGATAAAACAATAGAAGTGTATTTTGCGAATATATCCCTTACCGGTCTGTTCAGCTGGTAGTCCATCTCTGAGACTTGATACAGATCTCTCAATCCCTTCCACCTTCTAATAGGTTTTTTGTCTAGGAGTCACTGGATGACTTGCCATCTCCAAACAATGGACTCCAGTGCCAGCAGAGATTGGTGACCTTGTTGGGTCCCAGTGTGAGGGACATAAATCAAAGGAATTAACCTACTGGATATAAATATAGTGGTCAGGCATTCTCCATCATGAAATTCGTGTAAATGTTTGGTTTTTGAGGGTTTTTTCCCCCATTTTAAAAGCTGCTCTGTTTAATTTGCAAAGACCCCCAACAGTAACATCATCTACTGGGGGTTCTGTAACCATCGTGGGCAAGTTCCTGGTGCATCAACTGCCGACGTCAACACTGTGCTCTTGCGCATGCTCAAGAGTACAGCACTGAGGTCTATGGAGGATCCTGCGAGTCAATAAGATTCTTCATATTCATAGCCTTTTACCCCCTACAGCCATCACTGGCTTGACAAAGAATGTCACCTTTTGTCAAGCAGAGAAAAATGCTGACACAAAGAAGTCCCTACTTTGTCTCAGTATATCTGTTGGAGTCAACCTTTCTTCCTGTATCAGATGCTATAATACTAAGCCCACTTATCTGTGCACCCCAACTTTGGGCCAAACGTTCGGGGGGAGCAGCCTCTCAGTGATACACAGACACAGTTTTTTGAATCGGATTAACACAGTTTATTTAAAGTCAGGTAAACATATTTATTGCAAAAGTTACGTAACAAGAGATTACATCGGAACATAGAACAGCTGCACAGGTTACATGCTTCGCTCAACTACCATGGTCATTAAACAACCTGCATTTCTTGTAACAAGGTTAAAGGCCATCTCCTGCGTGTCTGTAATAAGTTCACTTTAACAGGACATTTTACAATTGTCACTTCTAGAATTGTCTGTCTATACTTAGTAGTCACATGTTAAAATTGTAACCCTATCACAGCCCTCCCCAGAGAGAAAGTGCTGATATCCTCCATGCGTGGCTCTCTGCCTCCGCTACTTAATCCAGAGTTAGCTTTCCTAAACTAAGTCCTACAATGCAGAGCTAACTCATTAACTGAGTGTGTCAGCTGATTCCTCTCAGCCAATGGGCCAAGACCTGTACCACATGACTCAGCTCCGAGAGCTTACGGCACTCTGGCAGAAGTAGAGGTGGCCAGAGGTTACCCCCTCTCTCTCCATGTTACTCTCGCTCTCTCTCCATGTTACTCTCGCTCTCTCTCTTTCTCCATGTTACCCCCTCTCTCTCCATGTTACTCTCGCTCTCTCTCTTTCTCCAAGTTACCTCCTCTCTCTCCATGTTACTCTCGCTCGCTCTCTTTCTCTCTCTCCATGTTACCCCCTCTCTCTCCATGTTACTCTCTCTCTCTCCATGTTACACACTCTCTCTCTCTCTCCATGTTACTCTCTCTCTCCATGTTATATATATGATGTATTGATTTGGTTATTGGTTTAATCAGCTGATTAGTGACAGCATTACATTACTGATACTGTATCCTCCCTGCTGCTCACTGATTAATGATCTCTCTCTCTCTCCATGTTACTCTCTCTCTCCATGTTACTTTCTCTCGCTCTCTCCATGTTATATATATGATGTATTGATTTGGTTATTGGTTTAATCAGCTGCTCACTGATTAATGATCTCTCTCTCTCCCTCCATGTTACACTCTCTCTCTCTCTCTCCATGTTATTCTCTCTCTCTCTCTCTCTCCATGTTATATATATGATGTATTGATTTGGTTATTGGTTTAATCAGCTGATTAGTGACAGCATTACATTACTGATACTGTATCCTCCCTGCTGCTCACTGATTAATGATCTCTCTCTCTCTCTCTCTCTCTCCATGTTACTCTCTCTCTCCATGTTACTCTCTCTCTCTCTCCATGCTACTCTCTCTCTCTCTCCATGTTTCTCTCTCTCTCTCTCTCTCTCTCTCTCTCCCTCTTTCTCTCTCTCTCTCTTTCTCTCTCTCTCTCTCTCTCCCCCCCTGTTTCTCTCTCTCTCTCTCTCTCTCCATGTTTCTCTCTCTCTATATATATATGTTTCTCTCTCTCTCTCTCTCTCTCTCTATATGTTTCTCTCTCTATATATATATATGTTTCTCTCTCTCTATATATATATGTTTCTCTCTCTCTCTCTCTCCATGTTTCTCTCTCTCTCTCTCTCCATGTTTCTCTCTCTCTCTCTCTCTCCATGTTTCTCTCTCTCTCTCTCTCCATGTTTCTCTCTCTCCATGTTATATATGATGTATTGATTTGGTTATTGGTTTAATCAGCTGATTAGTGACAGCATTACATTACTGATACTGTATCCTCCCTGCTGCTCACTGATTAATGATCTCTCTCTCTCTCTATGTTACTCTCTCTCTCTCTCTCCATGTTACTCTCTCTCTCTCTCTCTCCATGTTACTCTCTCTCTCTCTCTCCATGTTTCTCTCTCTCTCTCTCTCCATGTTACTCTCTCTCTCTCTCTCCATGTTACTCTCTCTCTCTCTCTCTCTCTCCATGTTACTCACTCTCTCTCTCTCTCTCTCCATGTTACTCTCTCTCTCTCTCTCCATGTTATATATATGATGTATTGATTTGGTTATTGGTTTAATCAGCTGATTAGTGACAGCATTACATTACTGATACTGTATCCTCCCTGCTGCTCACTGATTAATTATCTCTCTCTCTCCATGTTACTCTCTCTCCATGTTACTCTCTCTCTCTCTATCTCCATGTTACACTCTCTCTCTCTCTCTCTCTCTCTCCATGTTACTCTCTCTCCATGTTACACTCTCTCTCTCTCCATGTTACTCTCTCTCTCTCCATGTTATATATATGATGTATTGATTTGGTTATTGGTTTAATCAGCTGATTAGTGACAGCATTACATTACAGATACTGTATCCTCCCTGCTGCTCACTGATTAATGATCTCTCACTCTCCATGTTACTCTCTCACTCTCCATATTACTCTCCCTCTCTCTCCATGTTTCTCTCTCCCTCTCTCTCCATGTTACTCTCTCTCTCTCTCCATGTTACTCTCTCTCTCTCTCCATGTTACTCTCTCTCTCTCTCCATGTTACACTCTCTCTCTCTCTCTCTCTCTCTCTCTCTCTCTCTCTCTCTCTCTCTCTCTCTCTCTCTCTCTCTCTCTCTCTCTCTCTCTCTCTCTCTCTCTCTCTCTCCATGTTACTCTCTCTCTCTCTCCATGTTACTCTCTCTCTCTCTCTCTCTCTCCATGTTACTCTCTCTCTCTCTCCATGTTATATATATGATGTATTGATTTGGTTATTGATTTAATCAGCTGATTAGTGACAGCATTACATTACTGATACTGTATCCTCCCTGCTGCTCACTGATTAATGATTGACAGCATTACCAGGTCACATGATGTTCCCGGGGGCGGGGTCACTGACCTGTAACCAGTAATAACCCCAATAAACACAATGATCCCCGAAACCCCGAGCCTCACCCTCCGCTCCCAGCGGCTCAGCACGGTCTGCACGGCGCTCACATATGACGTCAGTGAGGGCAATGAAACCGCCTAGGGAGGAGATCTGACACACCGGAAATGACGTCAGCGACCTCACCGCCGCCATGATGGATGTGGGCAAAGCTCCTATTAATCCTTATTAGTAGTATGGGCAATAGGCAGCCATTAGCTCTAAGATAGCAATATGGAGAGTGTTAATAATGTGATAAGGAGGAGATAATAGGAAATAGAGAGATATTGTTTATTATAATGAGCCTGGAGTGACACACCCGGCGCCATGATGGATGTGGGCAAAGCTCCTATTAATCCTTATTAGTAGTATGGGCAATAGGCGGCCATTAGCGCTAAGATAGCAATATGGAGAGAGTTAATAATGTGATAAGGAGGAGATAATAGGAAATAGAGAGATATTGTTTATTATAATGAGCCTGGAGTGACACACCCAGCCACATGATGGATGTGGGCAAAGCTCCTATTAATCCTTATTAGTAGTATGGGCAATAGGCGGCCATTAGCGCTAAGATAGCAATATGGAGAGTGTTAATAATGTGATAAGGGGGAGATAATAGGAAATAGAGAGATATTGTTTATTATAATGAGCCTGGAGTGACACACCCGCCGCCATGATGGATGTGGGCAAAGCTCCCATTAATCCTTATTAGTAGTATGGGCAATAGGCGGCCATTAGCGCTAAGATAGCAATATGGAGAGTGTTAATAATGTGATAAGGAGGAGATAATAGGAAATAGAGAGATATTGCTTATTATAATGAGCCTGGAGTGACACACCCGCCGCCATGATGGATGTGGGCAAAGCTCCTATTAATCCTTATTAGTAGTATGGGCAATAGGCGGCCATTAGCGCTAACATAGCAATATGGAGAGTGTTAATAATGTGATAAGGAGGAGATAATAGGAAACAGAGAGATATTGTTTATTATAATGAGCCTGGAGTGACACACCCGGCGCCATGATGGATGTGAGCAAAGCTCCTATTAATCCTTATTAGTAGTATGGGCAATAGGCAGCCATTAGCGCTAAGATAGCAATATGGAGAGTGTTAATAATGTGATAAGGAGGAGATAATAGGAAATAGAGAGATATTGTTTATTATAATGAGCCTGGAGTGACACACCCAGCGCCATGATGGATGTAGGCAAAGCTCCTATTAATCCTTATTAGTAGTAGCATGGGCAATAAACATTACATTAAGCGCTAAGATAGCAATATGGAGAGAGTGTTAATAATGTGATAGAGATGAAGATAATAGGAAATAAGAGATATTGTTTATTATATAATAGACACAGGTAGCACGCAGCATACATGATAGATGTGGAAGCAAAGCTCCTAGCCAATCCTTATTAGTAGTATGGGCAATAGGCGGCCATTAGCGCTAAGATAGCAATATGGAGAGTGTTAATAATGTGATTAGGAGGAGATAATAGGAAATAGAGAGATATTGTTTATTATAATGAGGCTGGAGTGACACACCCGGTGCCATGATGGATGAGGGCAAAGCTCCTATTAATCCTTATTAGTAGTGTGGGCAATAGGCGGCCATTAGCGCTAAGATAGCGATATGGAGAGTGTTAATAATGTGATAAGGAGGAGATAATAGGAAATAGAGAGATATTGTTTATTATAATGAGCCTGGAGTGACACACCCAGCGCCATGATGGATGAGGGCAAAGCTCCTATTAATCCTTATTAGTAGTATGGGCAATAGGCGGCCATTAGCGCTAAGATAGCAATATAGAGAGTGTTTATAATGTGATAAGGAGGAGTTAATAGGAAATAGAGAGATATTGTTTATTATAATGAGCCCGGAGTGACACACCCGGCGCCATGATGGATGTGGGCAATGCTCCTATTAATCCTTATTAGTAGTATGGGCAATAGGCAGCCATTAGTGCTAACATAGCAATATGGAGAGTGTTAATAATGTGATAAGGAGTAGATAATAGGAAATAGAGAGATATTGTTTATTATAATGAGCCTGGAGTGACACACCTGCCGCCATGATGGATGTGGGCAAAGCTCCTATTAATCCTTATTAGTAGTATGGGCAATAGGCAGCCATTAGCGCTAAGATAGCAATATGGAGAGTGTTAATAATGTGATAAGGATGAGATAATAGGAAATAGAGAGATATTGTTTATTATAATGAGCCTGGAGTGACACACCCAGCGCCATGATGGATGTGGGCAAAGCTCCTATTAATCCTTATTAGTAGTATGGGCAATAGGCGGCCATTAACGCTAAGATAGCAATATGGAGAGTGTTAATAATGTGATAAGGAGGAGATACTGGAAATAGAGAGATATTGTTTATTATAATGAGCCTGGAGTGACACACCCGGCGCCATGATGGATGTGGGCAATGCTCCTATTAATCCTTATTAGTAGTATGGGCAATAGGTGGCCATTGGCGCTAAGATAGCAATATGGAGAGTGTTAATAATGTGATAAGGAGGAGATAATAGGAAATAGAGAGATATTGAGGCTGGAGTGACACACCCAGCGCCATGATGGATGTGGGCAATGCTCCTATTAATCCTTATTAGTAGTATGGGCAATAGCTGCAGATAGCAACAAGGGAGAGTGTTAATACATGTGATAAGGAGGAGATAATAGGAAATTGAGATATTGTTTATTATAATGTGCCTGAGTGACACAACTGCCATGATGGATGTGGGCAAAGCTCCTATTAATACTTATTAGTAGTATGGGCAATAGGCGGCCATTAGCGCTAAGATAGCAATATGGAGAGTGTTAATAATGTGATAAGGGGGAGATAATAGCAAATAGAGAGATATTGTTTATTATAATGAGCCTGGAGTGACACACCCAGCGCCATGATGGATGTGGGCAAAGCTCCTATTAATCCTTATTAGTAGTATGGGTAATAGGCGGCCATTAGCGCTAAGATAGCAATATGGAGAGTGTTAATAATGTGATAAGGAGGAGATAATAGGAAATAGAGAGATATTGTTTATTATAATGAGCCTGGAGTGACACACCCGGCGCCATGATGGATGTGGGTAAAGCTCCTATTAATCCTTATTAGTAGTATGGGCAATAGGCGGCCATTAGCGCTAAGATAGCAATATGGAGAGTGTTAATAATGTGATAAGGAGGAGATAATAGGAAATAGAGATATATTGTTGTGATGATGTGCCCTTCGCCACTTTGTTCTGGAGAGGCCTGCTTGCCTGCCTCCTCCCCTGCGACTATGGCCCCTGGGAGATTGTACCCTCTTAAATCAGCATTTGGGCTTATGGACTTTTATGGACTGTGTATGGCCCTTTAAGAACCGTCTGTGGGCACATTGTGACTTTGGTGAACAATGTCCGTTTAAGACTATGACCCCTGGAAGATATTGCCTGTTAAAGACTAATTTAGCAGATTGGATTTTAAAAGACTCTTGCTGCCCCTTTAAATTGTATTGGAGCAGTTCTGCAGCCTTAAATTGGCACTTCGGATGCAGCCGAAGTGCCGAAGTAGTCGAAGTGGCCGCCATTCGACAAACGAACCGGTTGTGGTGGCCATCTTTGTTCATTCTAACGAGGTCAGCGGTATGTGTAGCCAAATCCATGGAACTGAAATCGTCTACACATTTCAACGAACACCGCTGACCCTTACCTTATCCTACACTCCGTTTTCAGCTGCAGAGACTAAGTCCCATTTAAAGATTCGAACGCAAGTTTGAATGGGACTTAGTAATTTTTTCAGTGTGAAATTGACCGACCGCACAGCCCAAATCTATGGAACTGTTTTGGGCAGGAAAATGTGCCTGCGGGCGGTCACAAAGGACTTCCGACTAACTTTTGAACTAATGGAAGGATTTGCATGATTTTTAAGTATGTTTATATTTCAAGTATGCTGATTAATAATATGTAATTTTTTTTATGAAGATTGGATGTATATTTTTAAAGTTATAGTACATGTATAAAAACTGTATTTTTCCTGCCTGTGTTAATTATTTTAAGCATTGTGTGCCATAATTAGATCACAGGCAGAGTGGAGGATTTTTGTGGGTAATTGCTGGGAGTATTTTCTGTAATGTACGTGTGTTATTGGTTGTTCTGTAAAACCCTGTGGGTGGTCCTATGTAGGGAAAACCTGCATAAAAGAAGGCCCTTTGGTGCCAAGTAATAGAGTTCTTCTTCACCCTCAATCTAGAGTCCTGTCTCTTATTGGGGGAATTGCTATATCACTACAAGGGATTGCTATGCTCTGCATGCTCACTTGGATAATCACTTCTAAGCTCAAGTAAGAGCTGGTTCCTGTTTCCCTCTCTTGAAGGAGGGGTTCACCCACTGGAACCAGGTGCCTTGTCGTTGGTCCAGGGTGTGTAGAAGACTGCTAGACCCCAACCAAGCTGCGGCGGTTCATGGGGTCTGCTGTGGTTGTGGTGTCTGCGGAGCGCTTGGAGCCCTCTGTAAGCGCTAGGAGCATCCTTCAACGGAGGTACCCAGTCAGGGTGCCAGGTGATGCGTTACACTCAGTAGGAGGTGGATGGCTCCCGGCAGCACGACTTTGAGCTCTGGTGGTTACCACTTGAGCCTCGTGAGGGGGTGTTGGTACAAAAGCAGAAGTTAGAGGACAAATATCATTTCCCAACATGACTTCGGAGGATAATTCTTTCATCAAACCCACTTGGACATTGCCATCTCCAGCACCCCAGTCTAGATGCACTTGTGCAGTAGGAATCCGATATACTTCCCCCCCCGCCGTGGGGTGACCCGTGTTGTCTAATGAGTATCCGCATACTCATCCGCGAGCTTGGCACCCTCCGGTAAGGAGAGGGGTATGCGGCCTCTTACCCAGTCTTTGACATCTGTCTGGATGTGGTCGTAGAACTGCTCCAGGAGTATTAACTGTAAGATCTTGTTAAGACCTGCAGTGGTTATGGTGCTGCGGTCTTCTGTTCCTTCCCCCAACAGCTGAGCATAAGTGATTATAGCTACAGCAGGGAGTAGAGGAATAGGATAGATGAATGCAGTTCCCAGATGGTTCTTCCCAGCAAATAGAATATCCCCCAAACATGAGCCTAGACTTCATGAAGGGTGTAACAGGAATGAATTTTATTGACAACACACAGGCTT